TGTTTTCGCAGAAGATTCATGATGCCCGTGGCTCTCTCGTTTTTGTTTTCTTACGAATACTTCAAGTGGGGATGCACAAAAGACATAGCATATGGTGGTGTATGGTTCCATGTTTTCGCAGAAGATTCATTATGCCCGTGGCTCTCTCATTTTTTTGTTTTTGTTTTCTTACGATCACTTCAAGTGGGGATGCACAAAAGACAGCATATGGCGGTGTATGGTTCCATGTTCTCGCAGAAGATTCATTCTACTAATATTATTTACATTTGGTGAGTGGTGGAGGGAGGCCCCGAGAATCACGTGTAGACATGAACAGGGTCTACCTGAATTGGTGACCCATATCTGCCGAGCTACAGCCCTGAACTCGAATCCACAGCATATATTGGTGGTCTGCCCACATCTCTCCCACACGTGACGAGGTTATCCTTCTCATTGAAGCTGGCCCTCAATGGCTCCGCATTATTGTTGGAGCCATTCGAGGCACCTACGGGGGTCCTCGAATTGACGTGAAGGGGACCTTTTGTTCTCTCTCTCTCTCTCTCTCTCTCTCTCTCTCTTGGGGCCTTTTTTTTTTTTTTTTTATCGCGCATAGGGCGCAACTCCCTCAGAGCGCGCACCGCGCACAGCGGACCGCACTGGGTATTGCGCACAGTGCGCGTGCTGTCGTTCCAGCGCACTGCACACCGCACCACACTGCTCACTGGTGCGCCGCAACTATGAAGGAAATCCATTTCCGTAGAAAAACCACAAATGTAAAAGAAAAACGAAGGGGAAAAAAAGAAGAAGGTAAGTGGTGCACGAGTCTCAACCGTCTGCAAATCCGGGAGTCGAGACAGGTCACCAGACAATTCGGGATTTGTACACCTGCACCGAAACTTTGTAAGAGTACTCTTAGAAATGTGAAAATCCGTTTTCGTACAAAAGCCACGAATGTAGAAGACAAGCGAAGGGGAAACAAAAAAAGAGAAGGTAAATGGAGCCTGCGTCTCAACCGCCTGCAAATTCGGGAGTCAAGACAGTGCGCCGCAGGGGGTCATGGGGCTCGAACCCACAACCTCCTGAATGGCACTTATGTGCACAAAAAAGGGAAAAAAAAATGGCCATTGCGACCCTTGGTGTCAGATTGAATGAGAACAACACTGTATGAACGCAATCATGATCTCCGCTTTGTCTCCTCACGGTGCCTTTGGGATTTCTACACCTTCACGGAGATTTCGGAAGAGTACACAATCCAAGTACTGTTAGAAGCGTGAAAGGCATCTCATTTAGGTGGTTGGCACTAAGTGCACCGCAGGCCGTTGTTGCATACTGTAACGTGCAGACCAGAACAAGAACCGACCTTTCAGTACAAAGTATAAGATAGCACAACGGAAGACTTAGATACCAGTGATCCGAACAATCAATGTTGAAATGCAGCCCTGAACATACATCATCATCATCGTTACATGGTGTGAAATGGGCCTGGCGCTTCACACAGGAAGACTGCGCCAGCCCATACCATACACAGACGAAGAGGAAGGGGATAGACGAAGAGGAGGGGGAAGATGGGAATGTCGTCAACACCAAGTCTTCGGCACAAGCCCAAGTAGTCCCTCGTTGAAATGTCTGAATCCCAAATGTCAAGTCTGAATCCAATGTCGTCAAGTCTCAAGTCACAACTCTGTCTCTCTCTGTCGTAGTCTGAGAAGTCAGGTGGCGAGAGGGTGAGAAGAGAAGGTGGACTTAGAAGAGGAAGAAGAAGAACTCTCTCTCTCTGTGTCCAGTACTAACCTATGGAGCTGGAGCGATGGCGCCACAGGTAAGTCCCACTGGCCTCCGCCAGTCTCTCTCCCACTCTACGATCTACCACCTACCAGCGCCCAGCGCTGAAGACTACAGCTACAGCTATGGCGCCCAGCGTCGAAGACTACAGCTAGCGCTAATACCTGCCTAGCGCTGAAGACTACTGCAGCGCTCCTCCTGAGTGCTGCGGCCGTCCTGAAGACTACCTCATGCCTACTGAACTACCCGCCCGTGAAGTGCATGGGAACTTCCTATGTACTACCGGGTGTGCCTCCTGAGCCTGCCGAAGGGAGGCAGGGGCTGCAGCTGCAGCTCCTGCTCGAACTCGTGAGGAACAGGCTATTTCTGGCCTGTTCCGCATCCTTGTTCACGTGCCTGAGTCTTAGGGGCAGGTCGAAACAATGAGGGCCTGAAAATGGCCCTCCGTTTCAGGCTGAAAACTCTGGGTCTGAAAAGACCCAGAAATAGGCTGAAACGGGGTAGGGCCTGCAGGCCCTCGTTTTTCAGCTTTCAGGCTGAAACGAACGGGGCCTGTAAGCCCTAAGTTTTAGGCTTTTAGGCTGAATGTCTGGGACGGGCCCTGCAGGGCCCGTGTGGCTACGCAGTATGCCACACCGTCGTGGGGCTCGAACAGACAATGTCCTCAATGCCACTTACGTGCCTAACCGACTGTGATGGCTTTGACCCACGAAATTGAAAGAACACAAAAGAAAGAATTAAAGTATAACAGAAAAGAAATTGC